GGGGGGGTGGGGGGGGGTGGGGGGGGGGCGGGAAGGGCGGAGGGGGCGGGCATGCACTGGGGCCCATGGGGCGAGGGGGCATGGAGCCATGGGACCATAGGGCCATGGAGCCTTTAAAGTCAGCACACATGGAGAAAAGGGGCATAGGCCAGCGGGCTAGAGCATGGGACCATGGGACCATGGGGCCATGAGCCATGGCGGGGGGGGCGGGAAGTGCGGAAAAACGGAGGGGGGCATGGGGCCAGGGACATTGAGCCATGGGGCCATGCAGCCATAGGGCCATAGCGGGGTGGGCGGAAGGGCGGGAAGCGGGAAGGGCGGAACCCTTCAAAGTCAGCTTATAAAGTCAGCTTATAGAAGAGAAGGGCGTGGGGCCACGAGGCATGGAGCCATGGGACCATGGGGGGCCATGAGCCATAGCGGGGTGGGCATGCACTGGGGCCCTTTAAAGTCAGCTTATCGAAGACAGGCGTGGGGTCATGGGCCCATGAGCCATGGGGGAAGGGCCCTTTAAAGTCAGCGCAAAGCCATGGGCGGGCCCTTTTATGGGACCATGGGGCCATGGGGCCATGAGCCATGGCGGGCGGAGCGGGCGGGAAGGGCGGGAAGGGTGGGAAGGGCGGGAAGGGCGGGAAGGGCGGAGGGGGCGGGCATGGACTGGGGCCCTTTAAAGTCAGCTTAGAAGAAAGGGGCATGGGGCCAGGAGGCATGAAGCCACGGGGGGGGGGGGGGGGGGGGGGGGGGGGGGGGGGGGGGGGGGGGGGGGGGGGGGGGGGGGGGGGGCATGCACTGAAACCCTTTAAACCACCTGAATGGATGGGGTGGGGGGGGGTCAAAGGTCCAATTCAAGGCGTCATGGGTGAGGGCGATGGGTGGCGGGGTTTGGGCATGCACTGAAGCCAAACAATGCAAAAACACTCCAATTCAAGGTGTCATGAGCAGCATGCTGTGAGAGCGGGTGAGGGCGGTGAGGGCGGTGGGGGGTCTTCACTGACGCCGCCCTGGGGTCGGCGGATATATATATGTACATACTATATCGTACATATATATATATATGTATGTATATATATATATATGTATATATATATGTAAACCTCTATAAGCCCCATACTTGTCGATTATCCCTGCAATCGCCTTCCCAACTGAAGCTGCAGGACCTGGTATCGCCCAGGCCGGCTTTGAATTGTGCATTTGTTGAAGCTAAAGTCAATAGGGTTTAGGGTTTAGGGTAGATGTTTTGCAAGGTTTTCAGGGTGAAGCCATGGCACGGCGCTCAAGGGGTCATGGTTGAGGCACACGGTGGGGTAGGGGAAGAGAAGGAAGACGAAGGGAGGCAAGGCGCGAGTTTACCGAGTCTCCTCCGGTGTTTGATGTGATGAAGGATGCATTCTTCGTGGCTACGTGCTTGAGTGCCTGCTGTCGGGTGGTATAGTTTGTGTTTTCATCTGCAAGAGAACCGGGACAATTGTGCAGGAGTTCCCACAGTCATTGAGATACTGGCGAGAGGGGCGACATTGCATCATGGACATCTGTTTCGATGCCTCAACAAGAACCCATTGGGAAAAATGGGGAAAAAAGGTCCATCAGCCCAGCGGCCGGCTCCACGCCCCGAGGCCTCACCGGGCTCCAGAAGGGAAAGTGAGGTCGAGCTGAGTTCGAACTTCGAATCTTGGGAATTAGGTTTTTTACACGCACGTGAAAAAACTAATTCTCAGAATTCTTGTGATAGTTATAACGCTACGTGGCCCGCCTTGGCCGCGCCCTGCGCAGCAGCAGTAGCAGTAGTAGCAATGAAGTAGCAAAAGCAGAATTGCAGTGGCAACAGTACTGGCAATCATAGCAGCTTGTGCTCATAGATCAGTCGTAGTAGAAGAAGCAGTGCTGGTAGTAAGAACCACAGCAATCATATGCTTCTCGTACTAAGGTATCATGAACTCAGTTCCAAGTTACAAGCTCCTGTAGTTCAACACTGTTTTTTGTGTAAGGCGCAAGGACTCCGAGGCTTGAAACTCTCCGTAGAAGTGGTATTCAAAATGATTAGGGCTTAGGGTTTAGGGTTTAGGGTTTATAAGGTTTAGGGTTTAGGGTTCAGGGTAGAAATAGTAGCAGGAGTAGGAGCAGCTAAGCTTCTCACTGCGGTTGCTTGTAGTCGGATTGCTCGCAGCCTGCCATTTCCCCAACACATTGCCTGATGCTTTGGCTCTCCTCTTTTTGCCAACTCACGCGCCTGAGTCCAGGAACTCTCAAGTCAATTCCCAGTACCGTGATTTCACAGCAGACGCCGCATCGACATACCGAAGCAACCCTTGTGGCTTAACGAGCAATGCTACGTATCCTTCTGCTTTCGGGGGAGGAGCTGACAAGCGTTTCTCTCACGGAGGTGAGCGACGTGAAGGAATTGAAGCAACGATTGCATCGGCAGCACGATCTGCCACCACGCTTCAGGCAAAGACTTGTTCACCAACGCACCATTTTGGGTGATGCGGTCAAGTTGGACACCATCATAGCATCGCAAGTTGTTGCTACGACAACTACCGAGGAACCCGAAAGGGAGCGCAGGGCCGTGAAGCGGCGGCGGATTCGGAAGAAGCGGCCATTGGATCCGGAGGGTGGCTTGCCGCCGCCGTGCAACGAAAGGCTGCTCAAGGACTCTTCCAAACCAACCTTTGTGATGGATCTCCAGGTCCGACACCCTCTAAACCCTAAATTTTTGATCCCCACAAAGAGAGTTTAGGGTTTATGGAATTTTGAAAGAAACCCTGCAGGTTTTGATCCCGGCATTCGTGGACGCTTCTGAGCACCGGCAAAGACAGCTAATCACAGCCGTCGACTTCGGCCATGTGATCCAGGCAGGGGGCGCGGTACTCTGGGGCTGGGAATAGGGAGTAACACTATGCATTTTTCTAAACAACGCTATTCCTCACGGTTCCTTCTATGTCTAATCAATTTCCCCTCAAATCCTATTCCAGTGAGTATGTCGCCTACATCACGGAGAACGCATTGAGCAATGACATGCAACGTGTATCGAATAGAATATTCAAGCTCAGGTTCTTCCCCGGAACCCTCGTGAGCCCACAAGCTTCTTGGAACTCTCAGGTGGAGGCATTGCTGCAGCTTCCCATGGACCCGAATGCTGCCGTCCATAAGCATGTGGATGGTTGCACTCGCAAGCCACTTGTGCTGGCATCTGGCAAGGGCAACCTACATGTCGCAAAGCTGCTCCTAGAGGCCCGCGCTGACGTGAATTCGGCCGACGATGTCGGGACAGCCTTGACGAGTGCAGCTTTCGGGGGTCATGCTCCAGTGGTACGGTGGCTTTTAGAGGCTGGTGCTCAGAAGGACTTGCGTAACTCTTGGGGCCAAACGGCACTGCTGGAAGCCGTCACAAAGCCAGTCACACAAGATGGTGATGCACAAGTTGTGCAGTTACTGGTGAAGTCCCATTGTCAGCTGAACTTGCGAAACTGTTGTGGCCGTACCGCACTGATGGTTGCAGCATCCCAAGGTCATGCTCGAAACGTGCATATACTCCTGGATGGTGGCGCTCAAAGGGATTTGCGCGCCAATGATGGCTGCACGGCGCTGATGTTGGCGGCAATCAACTCCCACGATCCAGTCGCAGAGTTGCTGCTGAAGGCCGGTGCTCGGATAGACTTGCAGAACGATGCCGGCCAGACTGCGCTGACGCTGGCAACGGATGTGTCAGTGTCTTACAGTATTCAGAATGAGGATTTCCGAAGATTCTTCGAGAAGAGGCGCTCCGACGCGCAAATATTCTGCAAGAAAAGGAGGTCCAATCCGAGAAAACTCTGGGAGACATAAGTGCGGACGTATCTGGGCCTGTGGCTCTGGAGCTCTGAAGGTGAGCCAGGAGGAATCCTGAAGTTTCGAAAGTTTTTGTCAATAACTATGCACGCAAGGGCACGGTTTTCCACATCCCATCGCAGCATGTTTGTTGTTGCCACAGCTGGAAAACGTGCTTGGTACATGCCTGAAGGTATAGGCTACACATGGCAAGCGCTCGAACATTGTGCTATACGACGAAGACTCTAGTTAGTCCTACTGCTTCTGCTGGTGGGCTGCCACTGCTGCTGTGAAGACCAGGCTCACGGATTCCGCAGATCCCTCATTGCCAGTGGGGGTGGGGGAGAGGTGCCCCAAGTGAGCCCTGGTCCTGATGCACTGTCGGCCCGCACACCCGTCGGTCAAGGGGGGGGGGGGGGGGGGGGGGGCAAGCAAAAAGCGGACAGGGGGTTGGGGGGGGGGGACCCAGCCCAAAATGCTCGGTTGGGGGGGGGCAGGTGGAGGGGGGGGGGGGCGGGGGGGGGGGGCGGGGGGGGGGTGGGGGGGTTTTGGGCAGCAGTGGCGAAACATTTCTACCTAATAATACATGTCTTAATCTTGTTTATTCACCGTCTTTCAGGGGTCGGATGAGATCAGGGATGAGACGACCGATGCAGTTCGGAGGGCGAGCGGCGAAGGGCTTGTATCCTGTGCAGGGAGGGCTTGTTGAGAAGTTCAGGGCTTAGGGTCTTAGGGTTTTGGGTTTAAAGGGTTTAGGGTTTAGGGTTCAGGGTTTAGGGTTTAGGGTTTAGGGCCTTCTCCAGGCATGGCTCCGAAAGCTACGCCCGAGCCTGAGCCATGCCGGCGGGCACTGATCAAGCGGAGCCTATGTTTTCGGTTTTGCTTAGGGTTTAGGGTTTAGGGTTTAGGGTTTAGGGTTTAGGGCTGTAGATGCCCTAAGCCTGGACCCAGAAATCCTGAATGGGCTTGAGACCGAGCCCTTTTTGTTGTTTTCGTCCAGGGGGGCGGGGTGAGCGGTAGGGGCGGGGGCAAGTGCGTTGATCTGTGAGACCCTTGTGCCTCATTGAAGCCCAAAACCCTAAATCATACCCCCTCTTCCAAACAAAAGACAAACACAGACAAATCTCAACTCCCTTTTTTTGGAGGCACTGGCTTCGCAAGACTTCCATTATTGGGGTTTATGTCGTGTTGCAGCAAGAGGGTGCCTGCGCTCATGTCACTGCAATGATCCAAGCTCCAGCTCCACTCCCAGGCAGAGAGACAAAATTATGTCCCAACCTAAGGCCCTTGAATCCAACAAAAACCTTGAAGGTAGTTTGTGAAGTAGCACTTTCGCTGCCAGCGTGAACCGCCAAGCTCGACTCTTTGCTTTTGAAGTGGCGCCGAGGCCCTCCGCACATGCCATGCACAAGGCACGGCTTCCGCTATGCAGGTTTTTGTTGAAGCTTTTTGGGATGTTCTTCAAGTTTCACGTACGGAGCATTGGTCAAGACCCTGACAACACGAAGCCTCTTAGCAGCGTGAACAAGGAATATCGCAATGTTGATGCGTTGATCATATATGAATCATGATTGAACCGCCTCCAGGCAAAGGCAAAGCTAGGACGCAAAGATGGAGCAGTGCATGTTCTTGGCCATTGTGTGAGGGAGAGTCCGTAAGAATAATTGGGTTTCAAGGACTGAAGGCTTTGAAGTCCCATTCTGGTCAGGCCTTTGTCAAGGCCTTCCAGTGCTTTGCTTGTAGGGGTCAAGAGCCCAGTGTATGTATCAGAGCGCAGGCTGTTGCTGTGACCGCTGCTAGATTGGCACTTTAAACAGGGAAGCTTCAGCACACGTTGACGATGTTGTGTGCAAACCTTGTTTTTTTGAAGTCGAAAGGGGGTTATCAAGTTTTGGGTTTTCGTAGCGGAGTGGACAAGCCCTTTCTCCACCGCTGCCTGGACTCCAAACCTCGCCTGCGCAGGTGTCATCTTCGGCCCGTTCCTTACCGTCTCGCGGCCGCTGCCCGAGGGGCCTCGAAATTGCTCAATGGCATGAAAAACTTGCATGATTGGCTGCATCCATCCTCCCAGCAAAGCGCTGAAGAGACTTCCCTGTAGAGGCCTCTTTTGGGGAGTAGCCTGCAAGAGTCGCCGAGCTGGAAGATGCTTTTAACATGCTTTATAGCTTAACCTCTTTTCGGAGCCGAAGGGCTGGAACCTGCTGAAACCTTCAACTAGCCCCCCTCGTGATCTCAGTAAGGGCTGAGGGGGACCAGGGCGTGGCTCATCAGCAGCTGCAAATTCGACAGATTCTGGGTGACCACAGCTACAGCTGTAGAGAGGCCACTGAGCAAACTGAAAGGGCTTCTGTTCCAAGCTCCACCCTTCGCTAGCAGCAGAGTCGTCTCCATCGAGGCCCTCACCTTTTCACATTCATGAGCTGTTTGTAACCATTGTAGAGTCCTCGTCGCTCGTCTGTGCAGTGTGCTGATCGCAGCATCCGCGGTTAGCAGTAGGGCATTGGGTTTGGGTCCATGCCAAGCACTGTATTTCAAACGATTGCCGATCGCCGGTACTGGCGTTGGGTAAAACAAGGCGCTTACCTCAGCGGGCCTTCGCCGCTCCCCCAGTTCCAGCAAATTGCCTTTATGAGGATGTCAGTGCCACTTCTGGACGGACCCCTGTTTGAACATCATATCCTTGAACGCCCCGGCCAACTTAAGTACATCACCTGAACTCCCTCCTCCCTCCACGAGATACTCAGCCCTAAACTCCTAAGCTCGATCCTGAGCGTTAAAGTTAAAGCCCATCGCGGCAACCCTGCTCTTTCAAAGCCGGTATCCGCAGAAGCGTAAGCCACTCAGCCTTCTGCAGGCCCACAAATTCCAGGGCTTCTTGCCCAGGACACCCTGGCTTGGGTTTTGGGGCAGGGCTTTTGATTCACGTCGGAGATGTATGGGTCGGCTTCCCCCCCAAGCGCGCACTCCCCGCACTGGAATAGTTTTTTACATGTTGCTGCAGCCTCGCTTGCAGGAATTCACAAGGTGAACAGCATGCCGCAACCTGAGCACCTCAGCATGTGATCTCCGAAGCGCATTGCTCGTTGAGAGGCTGGTGTGGGCTTTGATCGGTGCCTCGCAAGCTTCACGGAGAAGAGGAGTTGAAAGACCAAATCTAACTACATTCCGCGCAACATGGTTGTAGGTGGTGGTGCGGTACCTGCATACTGACACTACTTGTCGGCAATTGAAACAGAAGTGTGTGCCAACTGCATCCGCAACATCCTCAAGTGGTATTCAGTGTGAGAAGAAACCGCTGGCTTGTTGCCCATCAGCGGCGGACCGCCAGTTTGACTTTGTGGTTCAGGGTTTGGGGTTTAGGGTTTGGGGTTTAGGGTTTAGGGTTTACTAGGGTGATGCCTGATCTTCAGGTCATCTGTCTTGAGAGCACTGTGTCACCCTTCCCAGTTGAGAATTGAGAAACGTACAGTACATTCAAGGGCTGTGGGCCAAGGGCCAAGGGCCCACACTTACAAAGCCCACCAATATCCACCAATGTCCCGACATACTTACAGTCGCAAGTTTTGCCAATCCCTCGTCTGGGCTCTCCTCGCCACTCACGAGGCCGTCGACAGCTCGCGGGGCTCCACGGCCGAGGTCCGACTTCCCTTAAAAAAAAGAAGTGGGGGACTTCGTCTGTTGGGCCATGTAGGGCATCTGGGGCATTTAGGGCATTTGGGGCCCTCCGAGTTCCTGTCAGGTTCGGCGCGCACAGGACTCCAGCCCTGAATCCTGAAGTAAAAAGTTCCAACACTCCAATACCCCATCCTCTTCTGAATGACTAAAGCTGTGTGAAAAGAACTCGAGAGTCAGCAGTTCCAGAACCTCTGAGCCTTCCCTGGAGGTTCACAGAGGTCCTGGGCAACCATCCCGGATCCTGCACCGGGTCTCAGCTGGCGCATCTCATATGTCTGTTATATCACAATGAGGACTTTTCTGGGGCTCCGGGATATGCCGGGATGCTTCCTGCACTTGGGTTTTGGGAGCTCATGGGTCGGCATTCAGTCTCAAGCTTAGGCTGAGAGACACATCTGACAGTTTTGAGTAGTATGGACTGACCAGGCCTCCCCCCCCCTTTGAGCAAAAGGAGCTATAGCTGCTGGGGCAACGCCCACAGCCACAAAAGGTTCAGCTGAGCGAAGCTCTCAGGGCCCGGCATGGGCCCAAGGTGGCCCAACATGGGAGTTTACGAAAACCAGGGACCCCTATGATAAACCCCCCCAAATTGTCGGATTCCCTGATAAAAAAAGAATTCAAAGAAGGTACGCCCGAATTTCGGGAATTTCGGAAACCCCCAGCATCCCACAGCCTAGGCACCTCAGAGCCCGGGCACCTGACGAACTACGTGGCATTGTCGGCGATTATGGCAAGCCCGAACCTGAGAAGCGAGGAGCGAAGGGCCACGGGATGGTGGCTGAACTGAATTGCATTTTTTGAGGCTAGATAGTTAACTTTATCATGGTTGGGTACCATTTTACATTTTTAAGGGTACTTAAACCCTATAAGGAATACAAGTTCAAATTTTTAATATTATCCCAACCATGAGCTAGTTAACAGGTTCTATCGAGTTTCGAGCGGCCGGGAGCATTGCACTGAAAAAGTGGACAAAAACGCCGGAGAGTGACGCAGCGTAATGAAGTTGAAAGCGCCTGAGCTTCTGAGGCCCGCGGAGCAGCCTGATGCCCGACGCGCTCACGCTGGGCCTCAGTCCAAAATGGCAGGTCGTTGACATCTCTATGGCGCATTATTATGAGACGGTCATGGCGGCATCATGTTACCATGTGACTATTCAAAACACCTATGTACACGACGCCTTCGCGATCATTCATGGTACTAGATGACACTTGATGACACCCATATGAGTATACAGCATACACCTAGAAACCACTTTAGTGAAATGCACATGATGCCTTGCGTGACACAACGGCACCTGCATGGCGATCATTGTCAAAATGATTCATGATGTGTCCAGCCAAGAA